TTGTTGGTGCTTTTCTTGCTGATTCTTCTGTATTATTATTACTTAAACTCGATTCTGTTAGTGATTTTGTGGCTAAATTTCCTATATGATTATTACTTAAATTTAATTCTGTTAATGCTTTTCTTGCTGATTCTCCTATATTACTATTACTTAAATCCAATTCTGTCAGGGTTGTATTCTTACTTAATGTTTCAGCTAATGCTTTTCCTGCTGATTCTCCTATATTGTTATTACTTAAATTCAATTTTATTAAGGTGTAATTTTTGCTTAATGCCTTGGCCAGTGATTTTCCTGTCGTTTCTCCTATTTTATTACTACTCAAATTTAATTTCTTTAAGGTGTAATTCTTGTTTAATGCCTCGGCCAGTGTTTTTCCTGCCGTTTCTCCTATTTTATTACTACTCAAATTCAATTTCTTTAAGGTGGAATTTTTGCTTAGTGCCTCGGCCAGTGCTGTTCCTGCTGATTCTCCTATTCCATTATTGCTTAAGTTCAATTCCGTCAGGGTGGTATTCTTACTTAATGCCTCAGCCATTGCTATTACCATTGATTTGCCCATAAAATTATAGCTTAAATCTAATTCTACCAGGGTATTATTCTTACTTAGTGCCTTGGCCAGTGCTTTTCCCGCCACATCTCCTATTCTAAAATTGCTAATATTTAATTTACTCAATTTATTATAATCCAATAACGACTCTACTTTCTTTGGATTTATTGATATCAATTTTTTCCAGTAATTAAATGATAATTCGAAAAAATTTAATTCATAATAAGCTTTTCCCAGCCCTAATAATGTATCCTCTTTATTTGGTTTGATTTTATCTGCTTGTCTATAGTAATTTAACGATTCTTCATATTTTTCAAGCGAAAAGTAAATGTGTCCACATAATAAAACTAAGATATTTTGAGGTTCAATAATCAATGCATTTTTGATATCTTCTAGAGCATTCTGAAACCTTCCAAAATTATGATCAATTTGATTTTGCTTCATGTAAGCTAATGATTCATCAGGTTTTAGCTTTATTGCATTTGAGTAATCTTCATGTGCATTTGAATATAAATTAAGCTTCTCTGAATTATTTGCTCTTTTACATCTAATATAATAACTATTTTCATAGTTTTCTAATGCATGAGTATACCACATAATTGTTTTCAAATGATTTTCATGTTCTTCTACCTCAACCGCTTTATAGTATGCAGGATTAGAGGTCTCTGGTAATATTCTGCTCGCTTCCTTCAGTCGTTTGTAAAGACCTTTAATAGTAGCATTATGGGGAATATTTAATATAGATTCTTGTTTTATCAAAGTCCGACACATTGGGCATTCAAATTTTCTGTCTTCAATTTGCAACGTTAATCTCCACTCGTTAATAGCGAATTTACTAATTGAGTGCCCACATCCCAACACACAAAAATCTCCCGTTATTTCTTTCATTATTGGACAAGTTAACTTTTCAGCTATGATATTTAATAATTCAGAATCTGTTTTTTGAATATTCTGAGCAGGTATCATCTTTTCCTTTCCCTTTTTAGACTTATTTGGTTTTGCTGATGCCTTGTAAATATAATTATCGACTTCAATTTTCTGTTTTATTTTATCGATACTAATATCTTGAAAATACTCCTGTTCTTTATAAAGTTCCACTTCGACTTCAATTATCTCATTAAATTGGTTTTCATTTTTATGCGCCAATATAAATAACAATTCCAGAGCTTTGCATCTTATGAAATTATTTTTGACTTTTTCCAAAGTGTCCATACATATATAATAGCATAAGGCCAAAGAAATTTTCCGTGAAGTTTTGTTGATTATATTTTGCACCAAATCAAGAACTCCGAATAATAATAAATAGGGTAAAGATGTTGACTTATAGTCACGAATCATGTCAACAAATTTTAATTCATCATTCATTATTTCACAATCAACTTGTGAAAATTTAGAACATTCGTCAAACACATGTTGCCAAATAATTTCCAAAAGTATTATTTCTCCGTTTTCATCTAATACTTGATAACTTTCATCTTCATCTAATTTTAATAAAATGTTATTGACTGTTAATAACTCACGCCAAGTAAGATACCAATTTGAAGTAGAGTAGGTGCAAAAAAGCTTTTCTTCATCCAAAATTGGTGCCGCGATTTTAGGTATGATTTTCGATAGAAATTGTTGCCCTAATCTAATAAATTTTGAAGAAGGAAACGTCTCGTTTTTCATATTATACAGAGTATCTTTCAGATGAACAAGAAGGAAATTGATGTTATAATTGTACAAAGCTGTGTGATGACTACCAGAAGTACTACTAGACGTAATTCGCTTTTGTATAGGTTTTATTGAATCATAATGTATTTCCGCAAAGTTTACTAAGATGTGGTGCAATTTATCCAAAAGCTCTACTCTAAGATAAATATTGGCATAATAAATCCTCTCTAACGTCGCGACGTAAGTCCTAAGATGTAATTCTAAATGGGAACTTGTGTTTTCGTCAAAAAAATTTTCAAATGGGGATGTGTCAGATAATTTCTTTAAAGTCATGACTAATGCTTCAGATGAAATCTTCACTTTGTAGTTTTCGATTAAATTTTTAAGGATACATAAATTATCAGTCACACTCAAATCCTGAATGAGTTCATATATTTGATTGTTTTTACATTCTACAATATGAAAATTAAAATTTGAAACATAATTGTTTGATAAATAAAAACCTTTAAATATATTATTCCGAAGAAGTAGTTTGCAACTTTAAATACCTATTGGACTTGTTTTCTTTTTCCACATAAGTACTCGATCACGACCTTGTCTTTTAGCCTCACATAGAGCTTCATCCGAAATTTTACGTAATTCATCAAAAGAATTAATTAATGAATTCACTTCGGCAACTCCCATACTAAGTGTAACTGTTAATTCCTTTTCTTCATAAATAAATGGGTGTGCTTTGACTGAGGTTCGAATTGCTTCTGCAATTTCATAAGCTGATTCAGCGGTAGTATTTCTAAGAAGAATATTAAATTCATCTCCACCATATCGCGCAAAAATATCTCCTGGGCGAATATTCCGGGTTCTAACCAAGTTTGTCAACTCATTTAAAACATAATCCCCTGCTTCGTGACCATTTTCATCATTAATCTTTTTAAAATAATCAATATCGAAAAATATTAAACTTAATCTAGGCCTGTTTTCATAAATATTTTTAAATTCTTCTTCCATGATTTTCTTTAGATAGCTCTCATTATAAACCCGTAGCTTAGAGTCTAGACGACTTTCATATTCTCCTGCCGGAAAATATTGGAGAATACAGCTTCCAATTTGAATAAAATCATTTTTTTCTAAAGTATAGACTTCATAAGATATAAGTTTGTGACCATTAACAAAAGTTCCAGATGATGAAGCAGAATCAATTATTGTAGCTCTTCCGCGGTCATTAGTAATTTTAGCATGTTTCTTAGAAACATCTTGATCCTTGATAATAATATGATTTATGGTGTCCCTTCCAATTAATGTATAATATTGACCAAGAAAAAAACATTGCTCTTGCGGCGAACCCTGTATAATAATTACGAAAGCTTTATCTTCTTTCGCCGGAAATAAATTATCTCCAGAATAAATTTTCGGAATTTGATTGGAGTTTTGATATACATGTATGAAGTTAATACTTTCAAGATCACTGTTAATCTCTTCAACCAATGGTCGTTTTTCAGGAATGTCATTCCACAACTGGCAATAAAGTTCCTTGTAATCTACCGGTGTTCCGTCGATGGGAGTTTCCTTAGTTCCCGATATGAGTTCATATTCCAAAATCTCCTTGCCCAACTTATTTTTACCACTAAAAGGAACAGTGCCACTTGATATTTCCCATAATAAAATCCCGAGACTATATGCATCCGATGGTTTATCTTTTTTACTATTTGTCTTAAGAAATCGTGGATCTACATAAACCATTAATTCTTGATCCGAATATTCAAGGGTTTCAAAATATTCGTTTGGTTCATCAAGAGACATTGAGAATTCAAACCCCGTGATCACTAATTTGCCATCATGAACAATAATATTTTCATGATTCTATTAAATTTGATGAACTATATGTTAGTAACAAATATAATTTTGACTTTGTAAAAATTCAACTTAAATATAAACTTACTAAACTACAATGAACAATATTTTCACGGTGAATATAGCAAAGACCATTGGTAATATCTTTCGCCAGTTTTATTTTTTCGGGCCAACTTAGTTCGATAAATTTTTCTTGCAAATAAGTCTTAAGATCTCGATCGTACGTACTTTGAAGTACCATATAATAGAAGTTTAGAGATGGATCTAATAACAATATGTAAACAATTTGAATAAAGCTAGCTTTTTCAAAAATAAGACCTCGAGTAATTAGGACTCTATTAATAAAATATTTTATACCTTTGCTAATTCCTAAAAACTTAACTATATTTTCGTTATTAAATTTATTTAACCTTGACAAATTCCGAACCTATTTATAGTCAAATAAGACTTTTTGCCAATTTAAAATACCTTAATAGTAAGAAAACAATATGATACCTCTCTCAAGAAATTTTTATGATACTCGTCTTCGACTTTATATTGTTCTTCCTTTAAATATTTAAGGACAACATTTCTATCAAACCCTATTTGATAAGCCTTCTTAATATCTGTTAACGGCGTTGTTGAAATAATCTTTATTTCTCCAAACGAATGGTGATCAAACTCTGTCACATATCTACTACGAATGGCATCTTCAACCCACTTGTTATGAATTGCGGAAGAGTCCATTTTTTATTTAATTGATTGAGCTATGAACGTTAACATTTGACGAATTTATTTAATTTTAAATTACATGGAGGATGTTCTCCGTACGTACGGTCAATTCTCGATAAAGAAATTATGACATGCTTTATTTGTTGATGATCGAAGTATCAATTGAAATTAGTTACGATCAAAATTTTCCGGGCTCCGGTTTACTCGATCAAAGAAATCCGAGTGGGGTTTTTTAAATTTATTAAACGCAAAAGTTATACATATTAACCTATTTGCTTTGTTAATTATATCTATCCTTATACATTAAGTAAATATAATCTAAGCATTTAATTATATACGGTATATGGTGAAAGTTTTAAATAATATTTTATCGTCAAAGTTTATGGATTATATTTTATATGAAATTTTTTAATATTTGAACTTAACTTTAATATTTATATTGTTTTTAAAATCAGTATCTTAACAAATAATATAATTAATCAATCTTGTTCAATTTGGATAGAATTACTTGAACATTAAATTTTTATAGAAATTTGATTAGATATTTAAAAAACTATTCAACAAATAAAGTTTTTATTAAGAAATAATTAAATTTTTAAATTATTATTGATTTATAATCATAATTTCTTAAAAACATTTTTTTTTTATTTTGTTACGTGAAACAGACTTTAATAGATTATGATAGAAATTTTTAAAATTTTTAATAAAAATAAATTGTCAAATTAAATAATAAAAATTTATTCGAACTTAATTAAAATTTGACTAAATATAGAAATGTATATAGTGGTTTATCTAAAATTAATTTATATGGAAAATTAAAATTTTTACATGATGCTATTATTATAAACCAATTTCCAAATAATTTTAAGAATTATATTTATAAATTAAATATAAATTCATGTGTCTAATTTATATAAATAAATGTATATATATAATAAAACAATATAAAACAAATTTAATCTAAAATAAAAAAAAATTATAAAATTATAATTTTGTAAAACTTTTTTTTTATATTGAAATCAAAATATTTACAAATTTATAATTTTATAAAATTTTTTATTATATTTAAATTAAAATATTTATATGATAATTATTATTGTTTTTATTACAAACAAGCATAAAGTGTAAGACTTTATTAAATGAAAGTTTATAGATATTAAATTAAGCATTCATTTATTTAAGTTAATATTAGTCTATTGCATATAAAACTTTTGAAATGATATTATATCAAGTAGATAGTATCACATTAAAAGTGGCTTATAAATAGCTTATGCCTGTTTATAAATCATTAAATTAAGGAAGAAAACAATAAAAATTTTAATAATTGGATTTTGAATATACTGTTTGAACCTGTAAAACCATAATAATAGCTGGTTTTAATTTAAAAATAGTTAATTAAAATTTGAATTTGCTGTTTGAACCTGTAAAACGATATAACAATTGCTTAAAGACTAAGAAAAATATATAAAAAGTCTAGTATTTTCACATAACTGGAATGTTGATATTGTCGGAATTGTCTTAATTAAAAAAACTATTGAAATGGTTTTGTTATTGTAAATAAGTTTGAACTAGTTTGATTGTCATAAAATATATTTGTTAAATTTTGATTAATTGTAAAGTTTGTATTAATTGTTTAAAGAAATAAAACTAATTTTAGTTTTTTAATTGTAAAAAAATTTGTGAATTTTTAAATAATACAACATTGTATATCAAGAAATTTGTTTAAAAAATGGTTAAAACATGCAAAAGACCCAATAACTTTGCTTGAATATAATTCTAGGAATAAATTTTGTATTGAAGATTGGCATAAGGATAATATTTATAATTGTTAAAAAGAATAAAGTATATAAAGACAAAATTATAAAGAAAAAATATTACTGAATTTTTTCTATGCAATTAAGGAGCAAACAAGATTTTTAAACTTGCTTGACCTTTGATTAGAGATTCCATCTCAATATAACAAAAGTTTTTAAGTTTTTATATTCTTGAGCTTATGGTATAGTTAATATATTAAAAGAAAAAGGAAAGCACTTTTTTTTAGAAAAGTAATATAAAAAAATTTTCCAAGAAATCAAGATAAATAGATGAAGTTATATATATATATATATATTAATATTAAAATGAAAGATTATTTAGAATTTTTATTAATAAAGTAAAAGTTTGACTTGTTATATAATTAATATTAAGATATGAATTAAAGGGTAGCATAAATTTTTTTACAAAATTTTTTTAAAAAATTAAAAATTGTATTATTATTTAATAAATATTAATTTAAAAAATATATAAAAATTAAATATAAAATTTTTAATATTAATAAACAATCTTAATTAAAATATTTTTTATATTAATTAATAGTATTATTTAAATATTATATTTTTATTTTTTAATGTCATATTTCAAAAAATATATTATTTTTATATCATTTATCATGAAAAAAACATAAAAACTTATAAAAAAACTTAAATTTTATAAAAGTCAAGTTATAAAATCAATATATAATATTAAATTTTTAATTAAAAAAATTAATTAAAAAAATAATACTAATATAATTTATAAACTAGTTATAAGGAGACCTGTGGTCTATAACACAGTTATTAGTACTCCACAGGTCAGATCACAAGATACCAGTTCAACTCCAGGTGAAGACAGTTGAATAGAATAAATATGGTATCTGGCACTATAACCTGTCAAGTATCATTTCTTAATACAAGCCATTTCACATGCAGATCCCACAGGCAATAAGATTGTGACTATTAAGAAAATGGTGTTGTGGCATGACGATTATCCAGTTGGTAATATGATAATCATCAGAAGCAATAAAAAGAAGTACAAGGTTATCTATCAGGTTCCAATATGAAAAGGACAAAAGGAATTGATGATCATTTCCTTATGGATATAAAAAGTATCCTCCTATGAAAAGCCCTACTCCAATCCAGTAATACATTGGCTGATTAACAAAATTGAAATGTCTAAAAAAAAATATTTTAATTAACAACTTATCTTTTCAAGTACACACTATTTAGGAAAGAATAATTGCTACTATAGGATATAGCCTAGAGTTATCAAGTAAAAAAATAGTGTTAGAAAAAAAAAGAAAAACTTGTTAATAAAAGAAAATCTTAGTCAAATTAATCTTACATGCCTTAACTTACCTTTAATAACATTAACTTTGAACTAGTAAAGTAATTGACTCACCATTTTCTAGCTTAACAATATATTAAAAATATAAATATAAATTTTTTTTTTAACTGGGTGGTGTACACCTTGCTTTATTAAGTTTATTTGATTGAGTATATACAAATCTATTTTATACAAATTTCCTACTCATTTTTCCTAAATAAAGCTCACTAAAGAACTTTCCTACCATGTGGCTTATTGCTAAATACTGGCATATACTTAGCTAATTTGCCAAGGCTCTACCTGTCCCAAATAAAAATTGTGTTGAATGAGTAAATTGTGTTCCAGTTGATCCAGTCATAGCTGGCTTGTTTAATAATTTTGTTGAGTCCTAGTATGAAGGTTTTGTTTTGGCTTGTCTTTTTCTTATTGGTGCTCTATCTTTTCTTGTCTTCTTTTATTATGTTGTTTTCATTTTTCCATTTGGCAAAGTGTTCACATCTGTTTTTCCATTTGGAGTGGAGTTTTGTTAGAAACCTGTGTATGATTTGGCCTATCATTTCTGTTTGTTTGTCTTTGTCTATGTGTTTTTTGATTATATGTATTAGTTTGGATGTGAGCGCTCCTCTCATGTGTTCTTCTATTTCTTTAAAGAGCTTGTGTTCTAGTTTTATGGCTATCTGACTGCTGACTTCTTCATTTATGATTTGATTGAATATCTTGATAGTATCATTTCCGTTTTGTGCACAGGTCATGCAGTGTGTGTTTGATTCTGTATCTTGGTTATACATGATGCATCTGTCATCAGAGTATATTGTATTGGATCTTTGATGTAGATTATCTTTTGTTGGGAGTTCCAGATTCTATAGTTTTAGTCTGAAGGATCTTGCATTGTGGTCTTCTCGGTTTATTATTTCAGTTGTAATTTTTGAAGGATGTTTGTATGTCATGGATTCTAACCAATTGATATCTTCTAGTGTGCGTCGGTTTGTGATTGTTGTTAGGTTGCGGTTGAGCATTCTCCAGCTAAATATGTATTTGGTTCTAGCAATGTTCTTGTATGTTTGTGTTATTGTGTTCTCCAAGATCTGGCCATTCCATTCTTGGGACCATCTTTGTTTGTCGTGTCTTTGAGATATGAAGTTTATGATGGAGTCGGCATTTAGATCTGCTGTTTCTTTGGCCAGCTGGTTTGCTTTGTCATTGTTTGGGTCTTGGTTGTGTGCTTTAATTTTCTTTCCTGTGTATTGGATGTGTTGTGAGTTGATTATGTATATGATAGAGTTAATTAGATTGCTGTTGTTGAGTGTTCTTATTTTTAAGTAGTCCTTTTGTGTTTTTTCTATGGCATTTAGTGCTGCCTGACTGTCACTATATATTGTTACCTTGCTTCCTGCTGGGGCTGTTATAAGAAAGAAGGCTATTGCAGCTAGTTCTGCTTTGGTAGATGATGGGAATTTTTCGATTCTACCTTGGAAGTTGATTTCTGACATTTGTGGATGTGCCATCCAAAATCCATTCTTTTGTCTTTACTCAGGGAACCATCAATGTATACAGTTATTGTTTTGAGATTTCCAATTTTGTATCTGATCATTGCTAGTTGTTCAATTGTGTTTGTTAATGAGTTTATCATTTTTGAATTGTTTGTTTGTTAATATGAAGTGCGTTTTGAGTTATTTGTGATGGTTCAGGAAGGTTGCCGTATGGGAAGGCTTTGTTGAGCATCATTTGAAGACTTGGTGGTGTGATGCGAGTTTTGTGTACTATTGTTTCATTTGTTTCATGTCTGAAGCTTTTTCTACTCTTGTGTACTGGGATGTTTATTAAGCTGCAGAGGTCTCTTGTGAATATGCATTCTCCTGGTTTTCCTTGTGTGTCTATGGCACATCCATAACATT